AAAGCTAGAGAGTTGGCAAAGTAGAACCCCTCAGCACAGTGGACTGCCGCAGCGGCGTAGGCACGGCCTGAGCACAGCAGAACGTGCTGACTGTGCAGGGCAGGGCCAGGCCAGGCCTGTGAGTCACCGATGGCTCTGCACCTCCTGACAACAACGGCACCAGAGCTTGCTGCACGTCCAGTAAATGTGGCTGCCCTTTGAAATCTTCAGTTCATCCCTCTTACTTCATCGTTCTTCCCTTTAGGAAAGAAACAATAAATTAAGAGCCATTAAGTCATTCATATTAAGACTATGATGATACCACACCTATTAAAACAGCTAAAGTGAGTCCTCAAAAGCTGACAAAGGTCAATCACGCATTGCAGGTGGACTGGAATGACATGGCCAGTTCTGGAAAGTCTGAGTAGGTAACCACTGTATAGACCAGCTCGTGAGCTCCAGGATGGGCCTGGACCCAAACAAAGGGAGGCTTTTATGCACACAAAAATGAGATTCCAAACCTTACCCACAAGTGTGCCGACTGGAAGCCGCGGAAGTGGTTTGAGGTAGTGGCTGAGCCTTCTGCACGCACGTTGGGGGGCCCTTCTCACCGCCAAGGGTCATCTCAAGGACCATGCCTTGAACAGGCACATGAACAGACATGAACCTGCACAGACACGTGACCCAAAGGGCCTGGGTGGAGAGCAGATCCAGGGTGGGGTGGCAACAGGGTGCAGAAGGGACAGCTCTGTGAGCATCAGTGTCTCCAGCATGGGGGATGGCGCAGAACTGCATCCGCCTTCCAGTGCAATGTCCGCAGGGGAGCCGGGAGGCCGACTGAGTTAGTTTTGCAGATTCTTATAATTCTATCATTTTTTTTTAGTTAAAACATTTTTAAGGATACAAAGACTAAAACGGGTATTCCACCCATGAGGTACATGTAGAAGAGTAGCGAGCACAAGAGGCCGGCTGCCCGTCCGCAGCCCTGATGCCTCCAGCGGCGAGGACCTGGGTCTGACTGATATTGATTGAACTTCACTCCCTATTGAAGGCTGCAGCCCTGGACCTTCAGCAAACACTTCAGCTGAGCAAGGTTGTGTCATCTGCAGGTTGTTGATGCGTTCCCTCCACACTCGACATTGAAAATGTGTAATGACAGGACGCATCCCTGACACACTCCCCTGATTTTGAACCAGGCAAGTGTTTCCTTGCTCTGTTCTGATGACTGCCTTCCTGTCCAAGGATAGGTTCGGCATGAACACGATCAAGTGTCCCAGGATTCCCATTTTTCTCAGAGTCAGCCATAATTTGTTGTGATCCACACAGTCAAATGCCCTTGTACAGTTGATGAAATACAATAGACATCCTTCTGGTACTCTGCTTTCTACCAAGGTTCCTCTAACCTCGGCAATGATATTCCTGGTGCCACAGCCTCTTCTAAACCCAGCCTGCACTTTTAGCATTTCTCTGCAGTATACTGCTCTTGTCATTTTGGGATACTCTTCAGAGAGATTTTGCTTGCATGTGATTTAGTGATATTGTTTGATAATTTCCACATTTCTATTGGGCCACCTTTTTTGGGAATGAGAATAAATGTGGATCTCTTCCAGTCAGTCAGCCAGGTAGTTGTCCTCCAGATTTCTTGGCACAACCTACCTGGTGAGCACATCCAGGCAGCATCTGGTTGTTGATATATGTCACCTGGTATTCTGAGAAGAATGGGAATCCCAGAACACTTGATCGTTCTAATGCGAAACCTATACTTGGACCAGGAGGCAGT